CTGAGCAAGCGCTTTTGAAGAGAGTGGAGCAAGCAGGATAGGGTGCTGGGGACGAGAAGTAAGGACCTGTGTCTGCTGGAGTCTATTTCAAGGTCCCACGGGGAACTGTACCAGAGCAACCCACCCGGAAGCAGGGATCTCATCTTCATAGCCCATGCCTATCAGTGCTTAGCTTTGTAGCACCTGGGGATCCATGGAACATGATGGGACCACCCACCTCCATCCCAGGTTCGCAGAGGATGAACTCAGTAGGAGAGCAAGTTGGTAAGCTTTGAAGCAGAGCAAGATCCTTATCAAACACAGGATTCATTTCCAGGGAGTTCCTTGGTTTTCAGTTCGCCCTATGATGTTAAAGTATTTGATCCACATTGACAGAAGGAAAAGTTTGCTTCTTTAAAAAAAGAACAAAACAAAAACAAAAAAAAGTCACCACTGCTCTGCAAACACTAAGAAGGTTCTTGTAGAAAAGTTCAAGTTATTACAGAAAAAAAAGAAACAACTTTGAAATATAATTGAAAAAAGTTTGTCCATCAAACTCAATGGAGAGAAACTTAAATCAATCCCACTGAAATCAGGGACAAAACAAGGCTGCCCACTCTCTCCCTACCTCTTCCACATTGTACTTGAAGTCCTAGCCAGAGCAATAAGACAACTAAAGGAGATCAAGGGGATACAAATCGGAAAGGAAAAGGTCAAAGTGTCACTATTCGCAGATGATATGATAGTATATATGAGCGACCCCAAAAATTCAACCAGAGAACTCCTCCAGCTGATAAACACCTTCAGCAAAGTGGCAGGATACAAAATCAACTCAAAAAAATCAGAAGCCCTCCTGTATACCAAAGACAAAAGGGCCGAGAAAGAAATTAGGGAAACAACACCCTTCACAATAGCCACTAATAACATAAAGTACTTGGGGTGACTCTAACCAAGCAAGTGAAAGAGCTGTTTGAGAAAAACTTCAAGTCTCTGAAGAAAGAAATTGAAGAAGATCTCAGAAGATGGAAAGATCTCCCGTGCTCATGGATTGGTAGGATTAACATTGTGAAAATGGCCATCCTGCCAAAAGCAATCTACAGATTCAATGCAATTCCCATCAAAATACCAACTCAATTCTTTACAGACCTTGAAAAAAAGATTCTCAGCTTCATATGGATTAACAAAAAACCCAGAATCTCCAAAACAATCCTGTACAACAACAGATCATCTGGAGGTATCTCCATCCCCGATCTCAAGTTGAACTACAGAGCAATAGTAATAAAAACTGCATGGTATTGGCATAGAAACAGAAAGGAGGATCAATGGAACCACATAGAAGACCCAGAAATAAACCCACACACCTATGAATACTTGATTTTTGACAAAGAAGCCAAAACCATTCAATGGAAAAAAGATAGCATCTTCAACAAATGGTGCTGGTCCAACTGGATGTCCACATGCAGAAAAATGAAAATAGATCTATATTTATCACCCAGCACAAAACTAAGGTCCAAGTGGATCAAAGACCTCAACATAAAACCAGATACTCTAAATCTGTTAGAAGAAAAAGTGGGGAACAGCCTAGAACTCATTGGCACAGGAGACAACTTCCTGAACAGAACACCAACAGCACAGGCTCTAAGAGCAACAATCAATAAATGGGACCTCATGAAACTGAAAAGCTTCTGTAAAGCAAAGAACACTGTCATCAAAACAAAACAACTGCCTACAGATTGGGAAAGAATCTTCACTAACCCTTTATCTAACAGGGGACTAATATCGAGTATATACAAAGAACTAAAGAAGCTGAAAAGCAGCAAACCAAGTAATCCAATTAAAAAATGGGGAACAGAGCTAAACAGAGAATTCTCGACAGAGGAATATGGAATGGCAGAGAAACACTTAAAGAAATGCTCATCCTCATTAGCCATCAGGGAAATGCAAATCAAAACGACCCTGAGATATCACCTTACACCCATCAGAATGGCCAAGATGAAAAACTCAAAGGACAACACATGCTGGAGAGGTTGTGGAGAAAGGGGAACCCTCCTCCACTGCTGATGGGAATGTAAACTGGTACAACCACTCTGGAAATCTATCTGGCGCCTTCTAAGACAATTAGGAGTAGTGCTTCCTCAAGACCCAGCTATACCACTGCTAGGTATATACCCAAAGTTTGCTCAAGTACACAAAAGGAATATTTGCTCAACCATGTTTATAGCAGCTTTATTTGTAATAGCCAGAACCTGGAAACAACCCAGATGTCCATCAACGGAGGAATGGGTACAGAAATTGTGGTATTTTTACACAATGGAATACTACTCAGCAATCAAAAAAGAGGAAATCATGAAATTTGCAGGCAAATAGTGGGATCTAGAAAAGATCATCCTGAGTGAAATATCCCAGAAGGAGAAAGACAAACACGGTATATACTCACTTATATAGACCTATAAGATATGATAAACATAATGAAATCTGTACACCTAAAAAAGATAATCAAGAAAGCGGACATGGGATGAGATAATCAATCCTCATTTAGAAAGACAGATGGGATATGCATTGAACATATGACAGGAGTCTACTGAGCACATTTGAAAGACTAACTAGCAGTGTTTTCAAAGCAAAGACTCATGACCAAACCTTTGGCAGAGTACAGGGAATCATAAGAAAGAAGGGAAGTTAGTCTGATGAGGAAAGGATAGGAGCTCCACAAGGACCAAATATATCTGGGCACAGGGTCTTTTCTGAGACTGACATTCAACCAAGAACCATTATGGATATAACCTAGAACCTCTGCTCAGATGTAGCCTGTGGTAGCTCAGTAACCAATTGGTTTCCCATAGTGAGGGGAACAAGGACTATTTCTGACAGGAACTCAATGACTGGCTCTTTGGCCTCCCCACCCCCAAGGGAGGAGCAGTCCTGTTAGGCCACAGAGGAGAGCTTTGCAGCCAGTCCTGAAGATACCTGATAAAACAGGATCAGATGAATGGGGAGGAGGTCCCCCCTATCAGTGGACTTGGCAAGGGGCACGGTGGAGATGAGGGAGGGAGGGAGGGGCTGGGAGGGAATGAGGGATCGGGACACGGCTGGGATACAGAGTTAATAAAATGTAACTGATAAGAAAAAAATAAAATAAAAAAAAAAGGTTGTCAAAAACTAATTTTATAGTTCCAACTTTGTCAGCAAAAGAATGAATTCCTACAGCTGTCATACGTGTTTATTCCAGGCTTTTCTAAAATTGTTTTTCTGTGGTGGTATTTCCCTGCAAGTGCACCCCTGCCTCCCAGAAGCTCCCTGCCCGAATGCCGTGCTCTGAAAGTGCACGGACTCAGCCGTGGGATTCAGCAGTGTCTCTAGTAAAGACGACGGAGTGTCATAAGGAATTGAAGCCCCTGAGTTTGCTTATTTCTTCTGCCCTCCTGGCAAGCCCAGACAGACAGTGTGTTATATTAGAGACCCACGAGATGCCTCAGGTTGTGTGTGCATACACACACACACACACACACGCACACACACACACACACACACAAAACATAGCACGTCTGTAGTCTGAATATAGCTTACAAGCTGTTGGCATTCACTTAAAATTGGAAGGGTTTCGTCCCTGCCTAGTGCTACATGAACTAAGTAACATGCTTTATGATTGACAACCTGAGAGCCAGGGAAATGTAGAATGAGTTTGCTTTGTGGAAGTTTAATGGTTCTTAAGTAGTTTATGTTTGGAGAGCCATCGTGGGTTTGGTTGTTAGGTCCAACTTTTCTTCTTTCTCAAGCTCATTGGTTCACTTAATGTTCTGCGTGTCATCTTTAAGGAGTGTTACAAAGTGGCACTTAGGCTGTGCCGCAACTGTTTATGGAGAAGATTATGAGCCACTATGTGCTCAGTAGAAATGGGGCAGGCAGGGAAATGGACCTGCGCTTTGAGTTAGCAGAGTAGCAAAGCTTTTATGACGGGGCTGTGTGTCTGGTAGAAGAGGGAACGCAACAGGTAAAGGCTGTAGGGTGTCATTATTCCAAAGATGATTCTATGATGGCGAGTACACATCGTTAGATGTTAGTAAAAACTCCTGGGATATAGGACACAAAGAATGAGCCCTCCTGTTGACTACATATGAGTAATGGCAGTGTGTTGCTCTAGTTGATCACTTCCAGCCAGAGTTCCACTCTGGGCCATGGTGCTGATAATTGGGGAGGCAGTGTGTTTGTTGTGGGAGGAGATAAAAGAGAACTCTGTCATTTTCACTCACTTTTTCCAAGAACTTAAAACTTCTCTAACAATAAAGTCTGTTGTAAAAAGTAAATAATAATGTATAACTGCTGTGTGAAAGGAAAAAGGGCCTAAAGGGAGCAAGAGACGGTAATGGAGAGAAGGACAACATATTGCCTGCTTCTCTTATGTGGATCTGGATTAAATACATACACATGCATGTAACACGAAAGCAGAATGGGGACTGTCTCAGGAGAAAGTGGATCAGAGAAAGGGGTCAGGTGAAGGTGGGGAGGTGAGTGGGAGTAAAGTAATCCATCCTGAGCTAGAACCTGAGAACCTACGCTGTGTCGAGGTTGCAGGCATGAATTACCACGCCAGGCTAGGAGTGTTAGAACATCAGCTTCTAAATAATACTTCTTAGAACTATCTTTTGATGCTAACAAATACTTGTTGGGTTTATTACTTTCCCCAAAGGGTAAGTATTGCCTTCCAAAAAGGTACTCAGACTGAAGCTAATGTGGACAAAAGGCGAAAGAAGGAAAGAGAGAGAGAAAGAAAGAGAGAGAGAAAGAAAGAAAGAAAGAAAGAAAGAAAGAAAGAAAGAAAGAAAGAAAGAAAGAAAGAAAGGAAGGAGAGGAAAGGAAGAAAGACAGACAGACTAGTATTTTCTACAGGGTAGATTCACCCTACACACTGCTTATTGTTTTTCCCTGGAAGACACATCTACCGAGTTCGATATTGGAGGTGGGACTCCGCAGAGAGGTGGCGCCAAGTCTCATGCTGTTTTTGGTCCTTCTCTTCCTTGCAGGCCTTGAACCGGGGCATCGCTGCAGTCAAGGAGGATGCAGTGGAGATGCTGGCCAGCTATGGGCTGGCGTATTCACTGATGAAGTTCTTCACGGGGCCCATGAGTGACTTCAAAAACGTGGGCTTGGTGTTTGTGAACAGCAAGAGGGACAGGACCAAAGCCGTCCTGTGCATGGTGGTGGCCGGTGCTGTTGCCGCCGTCTTCCACACCTTGATAGGTAAGGCTCCTGCCATCACTAAGCATTTCATTTTGGTCATTTCATGTTCTTCTCAGTTGCTTTAAATATAGTCACAGGCCAAGTGGCTTCTTTAGTAATTATTAAACCTTTCTTATGAAAATTTCAGATAGAAGGAGTTTGTGCTCCTGGATCAGTAAATTTTTAAAAAAATTTTTTTTTCTAGAAAGCTATAGTTTTTTTGCCTATGATTCCCAAAGTCAGAGAGTGAGTGGTTTCATCAGTAAGTGACTGTACCTAAAAAACATTCCAGGAGGTACACAAAGTAGCAGACATGCCCATATTATAGCAATTGGAGAATAAAAGTATGGTGGCTGTTATTCTGAATTCATCCTTATCAGTATTGAGAACCAATCAATGACACATTGTTTCCTTGAAGTTAATTTGCTCCCAGGGCTCCTGTATGCTCTTTTATTCAAAAGCATGACTAAATACCCTTGGCAAATCCATTCCTGAAACAAGAAAGCCAGATTCCGGCTCTAGTGGCTGTTTATGGGTTCCTGAAGACCCAGGAAAAGCATGTTGAATCAGGGAGGAGCTTCCGAGGCTCCCTCTTTGGTGGTCCTGCAGCCCCACAGGGTGTGTTTTCAGAATATCCCGGCTTTAAAACAGCTTTGTCTGTTCTACCTGATGTCAAAAAGCTGCAGGGCGCATCTGCTAAAGCCCGCTGCCTACAGGGCTGGGAGTGCTGCTTCATAAGCCCATCGTGATGGCTGCTGGTTGTATGAGGAGCATGAATGTCACAAAGTAAAGGAGCCAGAGGATTAACCCAAGCCACTTAGTAGTGTTTACCCATGTAATTGTGACTCAGAAAGCAAATAGGGAAAAGGCCTCCATGGTGTTCCTTTCTAATGCAGCAAGGATCTTGTTCTAAGAGCAGGGCAGAGGAAAGGCGGTGTGCCAATGCTGTGTTCCTCAGGGCGCTGATATCCACCCTTTCATCTGTGCTTAAGCACTCGGGAAAGGGCAGGGCTTTTCTTTCTATCCACTTACACCCTGGCGGTGAGTGGTGGAGGAAAAACTTTCTGCTCCTGCATTTGATCTGAGTCACTTCCAAAGAAGGCATATGTACTGAAAAAATGTCATCCACTGTAAAAATAAGAGTCTTGTCTAGATGGGTAAATTAATTCCCTTTTGCTATTAGTCTTTTTATTTGTACCCTAAATAAATCCAACTTCCCCTGTTTTAGCCATGGTTGGGTGAGACTTTCAGATGATAGCTCACGACTGCCTGTCAATTACCAGGAAAGAGAAAAGCTGAGCAGACTGTTATTGGCAGTCATAGGAAGATGCTAAATCTAAGATTTGCTGTCATATTGTATTGTTCTGTACTATGCTGTACTGTGTTGTATTGGATTGTATTTTTGAGAGAAGATCTTATGAATCCAAGGCACCTCAGACAAGTTCTATAGCTGAGATTGACCTTGAACTTCTGATTCTCCTTCTTACCCTGTTATTACAGGCGTTTACCACCATAACCCTTTAGGCATCAATAGGGCTTGACTACAGGGCTACAAGCACAAGTAGAAAGGGCGAGCTTTCTACTGACTGAGATAAAGCCCCAGCCCATTGTTTTGTTTTGTTTTGTTTTGTTTTCCATTTTAAGGGGCTGGAGAGATAGATGGTTTAGAAGTTAAGAGCACTGGCTTCAATTCCCAGCAACCAACTGGTGGCTCACAACCATCAATAATGGATCCAGTGTCCCCTTCTGGCCTGCAGGCACACATTTAGCCACAATGTTGTATACAAAACAAAGTAAATCTTTAAAAAATGAAAATTTTAAAATGATAAGATCTTAAATTCAAATAGAAGGCGCTGTTATCCCACTTACGCTAGATAAGTATTTTATTACACCTGGCCTGTTTTAACAGCTACTATGTCTACTCCTTAACGAGTGGGGGTGCAGCAGTTGTAATCACAGCAGCTGACATTGCGTGCCTGAATCTAGACTCTCAGGGCTTCCCTCTGCTGCTTCTCTAGCCACCGGCTGTCGAGCTCTCCCGTCCTGCTCTTGTGCATCAGGCTTCTTTGTACACCTTGTTCCCTCACTCTGTTCAGGAGTCCGTAAGCTCATGCCGGCCTTGTACCCCGCATTCTGGACCACAGCTCCCCCCACATACACACCTAGCCTCCCCTACCTCCTACTGTTTTCTTGCATCAGCGAACATTTCTCTACAGGGAATTTTCTACTTTGGGTACGCTGCACTTGTAGTGGACACTGAAAGCCCGTTTCACCTCTTAGTGAGGCCTGCAACAGTCGGCTCCTAGGTAGGCCTGTGACCAGTAAACTGATACAGATGTGAGACCCTCAGATAGGCAACAGCTCTTAAATTAGGAAGCCACGGTGCCATCTTGTGCCTCCCTGGTCATCTGTGCCAGGGCCTGTGCATGAGGGTACATGGAGCCAGAGGTTAACATGAGGTGTCCTCTTTAGTTCCCCTGACACTGTTTGTTTTGAGGCAGGAGCACGCACTGAACCTTGACTCACCAATCTGCCTAATCTGGCCGGCCAGCAGTCTCCAACGATCTTTTTGACTGTCCTCCGAGGCAGCAAGGGTGTGGAGGTACACTGCCACACAGCTTTTTACCTGTTACTAGGGACCCCAGTCAGGGTCTGTGAAGCAGGATGCCAGTTGGTGTCCAACAGAAGCAGGCTCTGAACCATCTTCCCAGCCCTTTCTCTAGCTTTTCATGGCATTTATAAAGACACCCAAGAGCACCCAGCAGGACGGATCCTTTTTTTTTTTTCAGGGTTGGGACTGGAAGCTCTTACTGACTGCCTCTGAAGGGATGAATGTATTAGAATATAACCTTTTCTGTGATTTTCATCTTCTATATAAAATGGAGTCAAGAATTTGAGCCTGTTCGCTAACATTTTGCTAAAGCTGGGGTTTAGCCCAGTGGAAGAGCATTTGCCTTGTGTAGCCCTGAGTTCATTCCCTAGTGCTACAAAAGTATGTATGTTTGTGTATGTGTTATGTGTGTGTGTGCATGCATGCATGCATGTCTGCGTGTGTGTGTGTGTGTGTCTGTCTGTCTGTCTGCCTGCTTGTCTGTATCTAAGTTCCTAGTAGTCACTTTTCTTGTCTATTAATGTCTACTGTCTCTGTCTAGCATTTGACTCACAGTTTTAGCAGTACTACATATTTTCTGCTTTTTTTCCAGAAAAACAATTTTTTGTGGTTCCTTTTGTCTTTGCTCTTTATTTCACCTGTTGGTTTTATCTTTAAGATATTGCTGTCCCCAGTATGAGGCCATTCTTGCATTTAATGAACGTTCTCACTGGCAGAGTTCATCTGTTTTCTTATATGGTAATGTTAAGAATGGATGTAGGTCATTTTACCTGTGCAAAATGCATCGTTTATATAACTGCTGTCTTCCTCTTTGTATGGTGGGATCCTATTCAATAACTTATCCTTTCTGAGACTATATAAGAATGAGAGTTAGAATTACCATTGTTTCACTTCAAAATGACTCAGTCTCCACCTGTCAGTGCTCAGCAGAATGTGTACCGAGCAGATTATGCTGGCGTTCTAGAATTTAAGGTAACTACAAGTGAAATGTACAAAAGACACAATGGCTCGCTGCACACCTCTCCTAAGCACATGTAGCTGATGGGAAAGTGTGTGTGTGTGTGTGTGTGTGTGTGTGTGATTTGTATCAGCCCTGGCATAAGCTGATTTCTGCCAGTGAAAGCTTTGAAAGATGACGGAGTAAACCAAAGGCAATGCAGGGGGCCTCTTCCGCCACAGAGCTGAGATAGCTTAGGGTCTGGTAGCAATAAAACAAAGGACAAGCATGTGAGAAGAAAATGAAGGCAAGGTGGGCCTAGCCACGTATTTATAACACAGAGGAAACATGGCGAAAATGATGCTAGACCTGAAGATAACAGGTGTGAGATGGCTGCCAGGTGCTGGAGTGAGAGTCACATAACCAAGTAGAGGAGCTTAGAGCCTGAGCCTAAAAAGAGATATTCTGGATACATGGCAAGGAGTCAGGGAGGGGGAGGGAGGGGGTGGGAGACACGGGGAAAGCAGTACAGGGAAGTGTTATGATGGGCTGCCTGACCCCATATGTCTGTACCCTGTCAGGCAGCTTTGTGATGCCTCAAGGCTATCCATAGTGAATAAGGCAGATTTATTCTAGTGTTCATGTGTGTTAAATATAACTGTAAGCAGTAGAGGTCACTGTTCCTAACACACATCTTTTAAACCTCATCGTCTCCAAAAATCTTACTTGACATTTAGAAAAATCGTGTGTGTTTCATTAAGTCTGTGTTGTCTGTAGTGTAAACTCTGCCTAGTTTGGTCAGGTCTTTAAAGTTTTGTGGGGTTTTGTTTGTTTTGGTTTGGTTTTGAATATTGTGTACCATTTGGTGATGTTTCCGGAAACTGCAGAACCCTCTAACAACCAATGTGAACTTTAGCTAAATGACCTTGAACATGCCACTCTTCAAAGGACTGGTACTAATGACCCTGGGGATCATCTCCAGTAGGAGGGCCTTCAAGTTTAACCATGTCCATATATGAGAAATTGGCTACAGATATAGCACCTTAGATTCATCAACCTGATGTCATCTCTGTGCACCAATTAGTGACTACAAGACTGTGGTCACGATATGCTCTTGTAGCATCATCTGTTATTAACTGTTCTTGTCACAGAAAGAGAAAAAAAAAAAAACCTGTTGTGTCTTCTCATTGTATGTACAGTTGCTAACATCCTCTTCCTTGTGTTTCATGCTCGTTGTTTTCTGATTTTCTTTTCTTTTTCACCACTGGAGAGTGAGGCAGTCTGTCATCCCTAACAATTCTGCACATGAGTGTACATTTCCAGACATAGCTGGAGCAGATTCCACCAACCATACAGGCTCTTCCCCGGGAAAGCTTGGTGGAGTTTATCAGGAAAAGATGGCTCTGGTTCTTCTTCTGTGGCCAACCATCGCAGGCCTCATGCCATAGAGCAAATGAGTAGACAGCTGGAACTGTGTCAGATTTGGCAGGCTTTAAATCCAGAAGAGTCCGTATCTGTGAAGTTCCTGTCGGCTCCATGCACACCCACAGCCTGGCTCTAGCTAGAATTGCAGGAACTTTGAACATATTTGTTGGGTGGCTTCCATTTAGCATCCCTTTTGGATTTTAATCATAGCCATGACTTCTTTGGACTCGCCATAAACTCCACTTATTAAAAACTGCAGAGACAGAGCTTGCCACCACCATACTTGAATTAAGCCTGGCAGTCTTGGTACAGGAAACATCCAGCCTGAATAAGAACAGGTCACTGATCTGATACTGTAGTTAGTTTTGGTTGAGCCTAAAAGGGCATGGTGAATCTTTCTGATTTCCTTGTTCATCTAGACGGAGGAAGTATGGCTGTGGATTTAGCTGTCTGTATGTTTGTTCCCAGTGGGAACCAGCTTCATGTTCTGTAGGAGCAGAGGAAACCAGCAGGGGAACTGAACAAACACAGGCTCCTACCATGGCTAACTAAATAGTAATTTCTAGATTGGCTCTGTCTGTGTGTCTTGTCTCGTCAGGCTTCCCATTTATTCACAGGCTAGCCCTTGGAAGGGTGACTGGGTTCCATATGGGAAGCCACAGCAGTCAGGGTATTAGGAATAAGCAGTTTCATTTATTGCTTGAAAACCCACCACAGGGACAGGGGATGTTCCTCAGTTGGTGGAATGTTTGCCAAGCATGCCCAAAGCTCTGAATCTAAGCTCCAGATGCGGTGCTGCACACCTGTAATCCTAGCACTTCAGAGGTAGACGTGGGGATAGGGGTAGGGAACAGAAGGCCAATAACATCCTCACTATGGAGTGAGTCTGAGCCCAGCCTGGACTTCATGAGACTTGGTCTCAAAATAACAAAATAGAAAAAGAGAAACAAAAGCCACCGCAGAACTTAGTGGCTTAGGAAGCAAGCGTTTGCTTTTGTACTTCTGATCATGGCTGATGGTACTTTTGGACTTTACTGAGCTCATATGCCTTTTCTCAGTTGAAATCAGGATGTGGATGTGCTGATCTGGAGGGGGCTCTGCTGGGATGGCCACACAGCCTCTGCTGAGCTCTTTTCCTTACTGTGTATCTCTCCTAGTCCAGTAGCACTGCCTGGGCTTCTTTAGACATCAGTGGCTGGACTCCAGAAGACATGTGGAGGCACAAGCTTCCTGAAGTCAAGAGTCAAAGGCACTACTCCATCACTTTGTTCACACACTATTGACCAGAACACATTGCTGGCCAGCCCAGGGCCAAGGGGTGGGCACATAAACTGTAGAGTGTGTAGTTAAGGAAGCTGAAAAATCATAAAGTTGTTGCTATAAAAAGGCAGGGAAACCAAGGATGTGCTTACAATCACTTCTCGGAGCATGATGAATTCATCCATTTTTTTAATCTCTAGTTATTAAACCTGGGTTACATCTTGTTTTTTCACTTAGGAATACTGCATACCCTCTAGTGAAAAGACAACACCCGTAGTGATTCATGATGAGTCCCACTTGGCCAACACTAGTGGGGCTTTGGCTCCCATGTTATAATCTCATACTTACTTGCTTATATTATTATGCATGGTTCCAGGGTATTTCTCCAAGGCCTTAGCCATATGTGCACCTCTCATCCCCATGCTTTCCAGAAAATTACTACCCAGTACAGATCCAGAATATAATTGAATCTATTATACACCCGTGTCCCAGCCCTCATGCAGAAAGCTGTCCCCTTCACAGCTGGGTAATTGGCACAGTGCCTTGTATGAATAAGTCATTCAATACATATTTGTTGAAGCGATTTAAATGTGGTTTAGCAGTCATGTAAGCACATACTCTTTGGCAACAATACATATGTTAGAAACCCAGGATGAACTTGCAAGCTCCTACAAAAAGTCTCATAAATAGAACTCAGTTGGGTCAACAAATAGTCCTGGGGAGACTTTTACACATTGATACCTTGGGAATTTGAATTAGAACAGGTGTTCGGGGTTTTACATCTTAGAAATGCACATGTTATAATTTTCTAAAATGGATGGGGCCTCAGTTCCCAGAAGATATTCTTTCATAGATTGTCTTTGATTAAAGTGAGTATTTCATAGTTTGCCATAAGTGCCGGTAGCTACAAGCCCTGCAACTTTGAGAACCACTGATTGTAGGAAGGGCTGATGTTAGAGGATCAATGAATTTATAGGGTTTTTCTCTTTGGTCTGGTCTGAAGCCTCGTACTAGTGCATACATAGGTCAAGTAAGGGTCCTACTGTTTGTGTCTCTTCAGAAGCTCTGTTTAATTTTGCTCTATAGCTTTCTCCTCTTTGTGAGGAAGACTAGTTTTCAGAACAGTCTTGGTAGGCAGTAGTTGATTGACGCTGAAGCTTACCAAATATAGCTAAGGCAGCTAGAGTAGTCATTAGGGACTCCATGCAAAACATTTTACACAGGTCACCCAGCCACCAGCTTCGGATGACCTGGAAATAGTACTTATTTTCTGGAGACACGGTTGGGAAAAAGGTTCAAGAACCCCACAGTTCTTAAACCACCATTAACCTTTTCATGTTTACCCCAGATTCCCTACAAAAAGGCTCCATCTTGGGGCTTGAGTTAAAATACATTATTGTCGGCATAAGAGTGCTCACTTCTATTATTCCCTATTACCAGGCAAGAGGTGCAGGACACATGCTCTGCCATCAGCTACACACTTTCACTACCCCTGCTCTCCTTGCTGCCACACCAGAGCCTGAAACAAAAGCACCTCTCTCGGAACCTACCTGTAGTTATTTGTCAGGGCTGCTGTTTCAAAACACCACAGACTGCATAGCTTAAATGACAGACATGTGCAGTCTTACAGGTCTGTAGGCAACAAGTCTGAGCTCAAGTGATAGACAGGCCTGATTTCTCCTGAGCGCTTTGAGGGACGACTTGCCCTTTGCCTGTCCCTTGATTCTGAGACTTTCCTGGCGCTTTTGGCATGGAACTGCATCACCCAGGCTCTATCCTCACAAGGACTTTTTTTTTCCCTGTGCATAGCTGTCTTTGTATCTACAATAATCCTGTGGCTACATAAGGTCACATTCTGAGGTCCAGAGGTCGGGACTTTGATGTTTGAACTTCAGGGAGACATGGTTTGCCCGAGTCACCACCATTCTGGCCCTCGGCCTTTCCCTATCCCGTGATCCTCAGCCTTGGCCTTGTAGTCAGGTCTTGTCAGCTGGCATATGCCAAGGACTGTAACCTTTACCAGGGGATTTTCACTCTACCGCTATTCATATCAGCCCCATTGCTCTTGCATGTGGCATCACCAACCTTTATATTCCAGGGATTTCTGCCAGAATTAGGGGCATTTTAGGGATATATCAAGATTATCTCCTTGCAAGACCCTGCCAAGTGAACATTTGTCGATGACATAAAATAACAGCAGCAGTAATAAAGTGTCCGTGGCTCCACCCCCAGCATAGACTGTGAGATGCAGGACTTTTGTCTTCTGGCTCTGTGTTTCCGTCAGCTGAACGCTGGTCTGAATGTGCCTCTTCAGACTCAGACTGAAGCTCTCCCACTGCCTTCTGGGGTCAATTCAGGCCACCTGTCTGCTTCTCATCTTTGTTAGGGCTTCTGGTCCACATGACAGGTCCAAGCACAGCTGTCTCCCTCCCACCCCTTGCTATGACAAGTCTCACCTTCCCATTGCTCCTTTTTTGCTTCAAGATGTCCTCTGCCTGGGCTTCTTTTCTTCCTTTTCAGTGGCCTTGACAGACCCACCACTCTCCTAAGATGACATCTTATTACCTCTGCAGCTGTCTCTTAGTTCTCACCTCAACCCTACCTTGTTCTCTGAACATCAGAACTCTTTAGCTCCTTCACCCTGAACTCAGCTGCTTACCCAGTATGACCTCTGAAATTCCCAATGATACATTTAAGGTTCCTAAAGGTCATTTTCAATGTTGCATTACTGCAAAATCCTTGTGACTCAAGACTGATGATGATGGAAGAGCACTATCTCCACTGACTAATTTGTGTGGCAATAGGTCACCTCTCCAACTTTGACATGAGGGTCTCAATTTTCCCTTCAGCTCCATTATGATGTCAGAGTTATGTCTGGGTGTCATATGTATATACACCGATAGTTATGAGAGTATGACTTACATGGTAGAGCATTTGAAGAACATCGATCCATTTTGTCTTAAAGTGCATCAGTGAGGTCAAAGCTAGCATGGCCTCTCCTTTCATCCTTGCTAACGACAGCTATCAGGATGCTAGCTGTCCCTCAAGTCCTGCATCTCTTTCTCTTGTTTGTTGGGTTTGTATACACCCTGCATATGTATGTTTTGGATGCTCTCTGTGCTTCAGCCTCACAGCATGACAAGTCTTGACACAGGAGGACTCCCAAAACACCCTGTGGGTATCACTTTCTACTGCATAGGACAGTTTTCAGCATTGGCCACCCTCCTCCCAAGAAGTGACGCTGAGTACTGGCAAGCATCAAAAGCTCACTCTAAAACTTGTGCTGAAATCATATGCTAAACTCTAGAAATTTTCTCTTAGTAAATACCTAATAATACTTAAATATGTAGTGTCAGCTATTTCCACCAAGCATTCTGTTGTAGTATTATATACTATCACAAATGTATAATAAGAAATTGGGTAAACCAATACTTAGCAAATACAGAGGAAAATCAACTCACTGAGAGTCTTTCAATGAGTGAGACAATAACCAGTTGTGGTTTGTAGGGAAGTATATGGTCTGACCTCCTTTGCATGTTGAAACTCACACACTAATAAAAGTGTGGGTAAGTTGAAGCCCGCCAACCCAATAGAAGAATGAGATTATACACGAGTCTCATAGTTTTTCTGACTTTTCTATAACAAGGCAGATATAACATTTAAAATTATTTTAAGGTTTTTAGACAAAAATCATGTGAACTATCTTTTTTCTAAACACCATGTCTATTTTGGTCCCTTGTAGCCTACAGTGATTTAGGGTACTACATCATCAACAAGCTACATCATGTGGATGAGTCTGTGGGGAGCAAAACACGAAGGGCCTTCCTGTATCTTGCTGCCTTCCCTTTTATGGATGCCATGGTAAGTAGAAGGAACCATGAGCTTTCCTTCTTCTTAATGTTAAAATATGCTTATCATAGGATTCACTAAACATTTTTATGTGTATGGTTCAATAGTAGAAGAGCATTCATGTTCCTATGCAATCAATTTCTAGAGGGCCTTTTATGTTGCATACTAAAGCTGATCCCATTAGATAGTAATTTCATCTTACCACAACCTATCCCAGAAACCATGCTCTACTTTCTGTTTCTATGAATGTGACTATATTAAGATACCACAATAGAGGACTCAAACCATATTCATTCTCTTGTGACTGGCTGATTTCATTTTAGATATTGTCAGTGTTCTGTGTTACAGACTGTGCCAGACTCTCTTTCCATTCTAAGGCAGAATGATCTTTCCTTGTATAGACAAAATACATTTTGCCTATCTACTCATTTATATTACTTCTCCATTTTTGGCTACTGTGATTAAAATTATGAACATGAGTGTACAAAGGTCCTTATGAGTCCCTACTTTCATTTCTTTGGGGTACACATCCAGAAGGGGGATTGCTAGGTTTTCTGGTACTCATATTTTTTTAATATGGGGGGGGACCATCAAGCTCATTTCTATGGCAGCTTACCAGTGTTACCTACAGTGTAGGTGGCTTCTAACTGACCCTTGAGCTTTTCAGCTACTGTCTCTCATCAATCAATTTATTATATCATATATATATGGCAGAAGAAAGCACATTTGAACTTTTTGACTCAGCTATTAAGTATTCCTTTTTTTCTGAAGGTTCAGTAAGAGGAGATGGGGCTAACATTCTCATATACTTGCTACTTTTGTGATGTAAATATGTGAGTTTCATACTATGCTTCTCCTAAACATGCTGATACGGTGTTATCACTTAGTTGCCAAGCTTACTATATAAAGCAAGGACTTTCATGAATCCTGTGTCAAAGATGGTAAAGAAAGGGCTTTTTTTTTCTTTTCACATTCATGTAGCGATACAGAGACAATACAAAATTAATAACATTTAATACCTAATAATAAATTCTTCCATTGGATCCTTTGTAAATTACTGCAGGAGGGGAAATTGGGTTGCCTGTGAACAACTGCTACCGAATTTCTCTTTTGATGACTTTGGCCAGCTGTGTGGCCTCTGGTAGCTGGTGCAGGTGAACCCAAGGAAAAGTCAAAGGGGCTGTCCAGCCTCCACACCCCACACATCACGCAAGGAGCCTAGTGATGATGGATGGCTTCATCAGAGCTTAGCAGCGTCTCAGTGATGAAAGAGTTAGGTTGCTCTGGATAGACTGAGCCTATGATGTCACCCTGTCCTTCCTGTCAACTGGAAGTAGGGATGGATCTAAACAGAGAGTAGTAATTATACAGTGAATTTTGGGAACTCAGGACTTTTCATAGAAGGGAGTTGCAGACCCTTGGATGCTTTGCTGTCTGTCCCCTGACAGCTGTTTTATTTACCAGAACAGCATTTTAAAGCTCAGCACAGGTTGAGCGTCCCTTATCCCAAATCCCAGACTCCGACTTCTCAAATTCAGAAAGTTTCCTGAATGGTACCACATCTGGGAAGTCATATAGCAAATTTCATGTGTGAAGCTCTGATTCATGTACAAAAATCCTTTAAATATTAATGTAATTAATATATTAATATAAACTTACCTCATAGTCTTTGTATAAGAAATACAAATTTTGTATTTAGACCTTGGTTCCAATGCCTGGTTATCTGTCTGTCTGTCTGTCTGTCTACCTATCTATAGATAGCTATATCTATCTGAATCTTTCCAGCTTGGTTGTCTGTCTGTCTATAGATACAGATATGAAAAGATGAGGATAGACAGGTAATAAACATTTACATTTAGAGCGGTCATCTCTCTCTCACTTGCACATGCTCACCTACACACACATATACCTGCAACACAATCCTGATAACTTGGTGGGGGGCGGTTTTTAGAAGTCATGAAACTTTCCACCCACATGGCACTAAAACAACAAGAAAACCTACAAGGCACTATTTACAAATGTTAGCTCCTTTTTCTTTCAAACACTTGACACCTGGGGACCTCAGAGCTGGGGAAGGGCATAGAGGCAGCAGCTGTTACACAAACACACCTGGCACTTCGCTGCTCATTGTGCCCAGCTCAGGTGTCTTCTTATTTCTCTGTGTTCTAGTTTGCTTTCTGTTGCTGTGATGAAACCATGGCCAAAAGCAGCTTGGGGAGGAAAGGGTTCATCTCATCTTACTCCCAGTTGTACTCCATCATTGAAGAAGTGGAGGCAGGAGCTGGAGGCAGGAAGCACGCACAGACCATGGAGGAACACTGTTTACTGACCTACTTCCCATGGCTTGTTCAGCCTGCTTTCTTACACAATCCAGGCCTACCTGTCTAGGAGTGGCATGTCCATAGTGGGCTAAGCCCTTCCGTGTTAGCCATCAATCAAAAATTTCCCCCACAGGAAAACTGCCCCACAGAGGGCCAAGCCCTGTCCACAGTGGGCCAAACCCTTCTGTGTCAACCACCAATCAAAAACTCCCGCCACAGGGAAATTGCCTACAGGTTATTTGGGTGGAGGCATTCTTCTCATTTGAGGTTCCTTCTTCTGAGATGACCCTGGCTTGTATCAAGTGGACAACAATCTAACTGGTCCACATTGGCCATTAAGCTTCTGTGAAGTTCTTACACAGATCCTGTGTGAGCGTCAGCCTCCACACCTATTCACACCCAGGTGAGATTTGGGTTGCCTACTTCTATTCTAGGACTTTCCTAGTCTCCCTCCAACACACAAAGCCAAGCCCAGATATTGTTGAATGGCTGTTAGGCTCTAGAGGGCTTCTCTATCCCAGATAGTTCCCAAATAATTGAAACAGAGACCTCTTGAGTTTATGAAAGTTTTAAAGCATAGTAACTGAGCAGGTTTCAACCTTCTAAGGTTTTTGCTATTTCGAGACACAACCCAAGTTACTTGCCCTAAACGTTCCTGTCTGACCTACTTCTGTTCTACCAGGCCAGCCCTCATGTCCAAGTGCTCATGGTCCTTACTGCTCCATGGTGACTTACTTTTCTCTGGCTTCCTCTTCTGCTACATCTTCTTAGTCCTCTCTTTCTCTCTCCCTCCCCCCATCCTCATGGTCCCTCAAAGATCCCAAGCCCAGGAACCTAAGTTCTGCCTACTTCTTCCCTGCCCAGTCACAGGCTTCAGCAATTTTATTAACCAAATAACTTTAAATTAGGTAGATCAAAGTTTACCCAGCAAAGACCAGTGTACAGCATACATGAGAATGGGTTTGTCTGGGCTGCAATCAGATCCTGGGGTCCAGTAATTAGTATTAGAACACATAGCACTAGACTAACCCCCAACACTCAGACCCTGGAGACAACATAGTCCCAGAGCCCTGATCTTCTCAGGAGCTGAGGACTTCACCCTAGAACCCTTGTTCTAATATGCTTTCTGGAAGGGAAAGCCATTTGGGTCAAGACTGCTCCAGAGAAGATTTTGTGTCTTCTACTCTTGCTAGTCATTTAGCTTCTAGCCACGGACACCAACCTAACCAGATGGCTTATCTCCTTATCAGTGATACCAAATAAATGTGCTCCGTCACTCATTCCACTCAAAATCTCTGTGGGGCTGCTCATCAGATGAAGTTACTTTTACCAACAAAAGACTTGTCAAACCCACTGCTATGACTCTTTGAGGTATATAGTGTATTTTAGGAATACCTACTAAGTCGTAATGTAAGAAATACCGTAATCCCAATTGTGTCTCTCATTGAAAATTTCATTCTTTCTGGCAGGCATGGACCCATGCTGGCATTCTCTTAAAACACAAATACAGTTTCCTGGTGGGATGTGCCTCAATCTCAGATGTCATAGCTCAGGTAACCATGCTCTGTGTGTCTGTCACAGCTTCTCAGAGTGGCCTTCTGATAAGGGCTGACTGGATGGAGCTGAGATGTTGAAGCCATATTCATGGTTATATGTGTGTATGTGGTGCTTCCCAGCATATGGCTCACATCACATATGGACTCTGATAGTTGTTTGATGAGTGAGGAAAGGTAATATCCTGTGATCAAAGTATGTACAATCTTGCTAGGATGGGGGGTGTAACAGATTAAATTAAGTGCCTAATTTTTGAACCATCATTTTTGAAGTGTGCAAATGTGAAATTCTTAGTAAGGGTGCTGGCGAGATGGCTCAGTGGGAAAAGGCCCTGCTATGCAAGCATGAGGATCAGAGTACCAAACTCCAGAACTGGTAAAATGTATGACAGTATTTGTCTGTAACCCCGGCACTTGAGAAGTAGAGACAGGAGGATCGTGGGGGCTTGCTGGCCAGACAGTCAGTCTAGCTGAAACAGCTAGCTCCAGGTTTAGTGAGAGAACTGTCTCAAAGCCAAAGATGGAGAGTGATGGAGAAAGATACCCGCAGAAACCTCTGGCCTACACACACACACACACACACACACACACACACACACATACACACATGCTAACATACAGTGATAACACCAAGTATGTTTTGGGTCAGTCATATATGGTCGGTCAAGGACAAGTGCTTGTCTTCATGTCCTCTGCAGGGCCTGAAAGAATGCATTCTGTCAGTTGACTCCAGAATGAACACTTGGCACTCATGGGATTACACTTTTTTTTTCCTTTCCTTCTTTTATTTATTTCTTATTGTAGGTGGGGCACACATACTAGGCACGCGTGTGGAGATCATAGGACAGCTTTGTGTGGTCAGTTCTCTCCTTGTGCCTTTGTCAGTTTTCCAGGAATTGAACTCAGGCCAGCAGGCTTGATGGCAAGCTCTTTATCTACTGAGCCATCTTACCAACCCGGGTTTTTGGTTGTTGGTTTTGGTTTGGGTTTCTGTTTTTTTATTTGTTACACAATCTCTCTCTCTTTATAGCCTAGGCTCACTTTGAACACTCTGAACTTCCTGCCTCAAACTCCAAAGCACTGGGATGGTTCTTTTTGTGGGTACTGTGAAGTTCTGTCACTCAATATCATTTCCCACTGTCTTAAATAGGGTTACTATGGCTGTGATGAAACACCATAACCAAAGCAAACTGGGGAGAAAAGGGTTTATTTGGATTTCACTTGCAGATCTTAGTCCATCATCAAAAGAAGTCAAGACAGGAACTCAGGGTAGGCTCCTGGAGGCAGGAGCTGATGCAGAGATCATGGAGGAATACTGGCTTATAAATCATTGCTTGCTCAGCCTACTTTCTTATAGAACCCAGGACCACCAGCCCAGGGGTGTAACACACACAATGGTCTGGGCCCTCCTCCATCAATCACTAATTAAGAAAATGCCTTATAAGCTTGCCTACAGCTTGGATGTTATGGAGGTATTTTCTTAATTGCTGTTCCCTTCCCTCAGATGAGTTTAGCTTCTGTCAAGTTGACATAAAACTAGCCACCACATCCACGTTTTAAAATGAACTAGGAAGTTGGTTCCACTGTCTGACCACATTGTCTGAGAGGAAGGCTTGCGTTTTCCTCTGCTGTGGTAGCTCTAAGGCTGGCACCACCTCAGGGTTTCCATTCTTCTTCTTCTTCCCTCCAAAGATAGAGCAGGAGAAGTTCCTGGGAAAGAAGATGTAATCCCTGCAGTGTATCAGTTTGAGCACAACTTCACATGGGGCCTGATTATAACGTGCTTCTGGAGGAAGGGTTAGGCCAGCATCTAGGCCACACTTGTAAATTCTCAGTTCCACCAACTGTTAGCTCCTGTTGTATACCCTCATCTATAAACCAATGCTTGGAAACAATTCATAGTTAAACTGTTATGTTTGCCTCCCTAAAGACCAAGAATTAAATTCCCAAATTAATTGCATTTACCCTGAAGATCAGTAGGAAAAGTAATTGAAAATAATTCTTACTAACATGTATGCGTGTGCCTGAATACCAGCTGGCATCATTCTTTGATATATCTTGTTAATTTTTCTGTACAGCTATTAGACTTTTGTCCCAGTGTTACTTTCGGCATCCTCTGAGAGCTGAACTAGGCTGTCTTGTTCACTTGCTATTTAATTTGAAGTGAAAGAAACATCTTGCCTTTCAAACAGCAGCAGCAATTCAGTGGAAGACTGTAGATGTGTATTATTTCAAAAATGAAAAGACAAAAGACGGCTAAAAGGGGGAAGAAGGCATTTAGCACTGCCTAAGATAAATATAGTAGGCATCTGGGGACAGAAAAAAAAAAAAAAAAGACATGCTTATGGAAAATAGTTTGCCATATGCCTACAGCCATTTTCCTCCTTCATTTTCAACCTAGTCCTGGCCCTTGCTTATTGGAAAAAACAAATCTGGTGAGGAGAAGGGAGGGAAGCTGAATTCAGATGCGTCTGGCCCCGGGCTGTTCCTGGTAGAGTAATTTTAAACCTTGTTGTTTGAGTTCCTGCCACAATTTGTTTGGGGGAATAAATATAATTTTCATTCCTAAATCTTCTCTTCTACCCCTCTTCCCCACCCCCCACCCCATCCCCACCCCACCCTGTTTTATTCTGCTCATTATGGGCAGGCATCTGTGGCACCCACCCTGATAATATGTGAACAGGCCCCATGCAAAGCACTTTGAACTATCTATCTTGCCATTGTCCATCCAAAAACATAATTCTCATCTCCAAAGGAATAAGAGATGGTTTATTCTGAAGCTAAATACAGGCAACCATAGGCCAAGACTATACATTTAGGTTATCCCAAATCCCATGCCTAGTGAAATCATTTGAAGAAAATCATAAATGAAGACACTTTTTAAATACATTGGTGGAAACAGTACATAGGCAGGATACAGCAAAGCAGAGTGGGGAAAACTGAGCTACAAACCGTCCAGGCCTTAGTTGGTAGAAACTGGGGCTCTGTTAATACATTCCACAAGGAGTCTGTTAGTCTCAGGATGTCCAACCAGACAGAGGTGGGCAAGGAGTGGCTACTTACAAGGCTAAAGGACCTGCCCTATTTCAACTTCTCCACAGCCGCTGCAGTTCTACTCAGCCAGTCAGCCTTGCAGAAGCTTCAATGGAAGGAGCAGCTTTTTCCAGGAACTTTCACAGTGCGAATAAATGACTGAGAAAAATAAATCAGTGAGAAAATTGCTTAATAATACCTAGAATTCTAGCAGCCACTCCCACTTTAAAAAAATTGCCCCAAAGTTTATTGGTTCAGATAATAGCACAAGCTGAAGCATGTGACTTGTTTCCCACCTCCATACGGAACTGTGATTCCAGGTGTCCATCGTGAACTTTACGAAAATGTTACTGTCTTGTTTTATTCCGTGATCATCCAGACTTTGTTCAGATCATAGTGGGAATCCTCTCAATGCCGTCTGTCCTTCCTGGTACCTCCCATACCCTTCCAGGGTCAGCTGGGAACCTTCTCTGCATTATCGCCTTTTCACCTCAGCCTTTGGCAAGACCCTAACCTTGCCTGACCCTGGCAGCAATGCTTCTGCAGAAACTGTAAGTGCAGGGGCACAGTCACCTCAGCTGACCCTGGGGAGCTGTTGGAGGTCACTCGCCGTCACACCTCCCAGGAGATGACCTCGGTTCCCACTTCACAGGGAAAACGGAAGCATCCACATTCTTATCTTGAGGCCACAATTCCCCTATGTTCCCCCATTTGCAGAGGTGGTATCTCCCTTTCATCTTCTCCACCTGCACCTCAGGTCCTGATCAAGCCTGCTTTCTTAGAAGCCTTATTAATTTGTTTTCAGTGACCCTTCTGTTTCCCTGGATGACTGCCTGGGCACACACACATACTCAGATAGATAGAAAACACAGGGCAGCAAGCAGCTTTCCCTGGATCCAATGTACCTCTTCAGCCACATCCTGTCTTTCTCTTTAGTACTCCACACCACTTCTTAGAAGGACAGTTTCCACTCACTGCCTCCATTTTTTTCTACTTCCTTATCAGTGTGTTCTCTACATAAGTCTGGCTACACCTCTGTCAGCTCTCCCAGATGGTTCTTACTAAGGACCTGGACAGCTACTGGGCCATTAGACCCAGGAGGCAGTTTCCAATGTCTCATCTCACCAGCTCTTCACACTAGGCTCCACCCTTCTTCAGGACGCAGTCCTGGTACTGGCCTCACTATGGCCATGAAGAATCTGACTAATGCCTACAATGATCTGGATGTGATTTGCCCCCATCCCCATTTCACATACAGAAGGGTTGGTCTATTTGAGAGGTGGAGCCTTAGATCATAGAGGGCTGCCCTTGGAAGGGTTGTAGGATTCCAGTCTCTCTGGATTCATATGTTTAAGTGATCTTTTCCTGTCATACACATTCCCACTATTGCCCTCAGCCATGAAGTAATACAGCCAAGGTAGGTGGAGGGGTCGCACCAGAGCCTGCATGCTATCCAGGATGCCTAGCCTCTAAATCTGCCCACTTATAATGACAACATCATGTTGTCTAGGTTTATAGCATCTACCACACGACCGTGATTCCCCCCATTAAATAGCTATCGCCTCGCCTTCTCAGAATTTCAGCCAGTGCTACCCAAGAGTCCCTGTGACATTCCCACTCAGGTCCTCCAAAGATACCCAGAACCTGAATTGAAGATCTTCCATAGCAAGAATTTTGCTGAGTAAATTGGCAAGTGCACTCATCTGGTTAGAAACTTAGGAGCCACCCTGGGAGCATCTCCCTTTATCATGAAGGGTTCTCTTCTAAGCTTCGGCCTTTCTTCCCCTTGCTGTGCCCCTCTCTGCTGCTGTCATTCACTCTGACTGAGAATCACCCCTTCCTATCCACAGTAGTGAGTGGCCTCTTCACCCAGTCCACCCAGCCACCCTGGATCTCCACAGTTCCTGATGCTGCCACAGCTATCTCACCCACTGAAACCCTGACCACCTCAGCCTCTGATTAAAGGGATACTTGAAACTCTCGGTCCTAATGCTGACTGATAAAGGGCTGAGTCCCACTTCCTTCTGCCTGTCTGGCTCCATCATGGTTCTTGTCCCACCTTGCTCCCTGGTCCACAGTCCACCTACCACAGCTCCTCCAGCCTGGAAGAAACACTCTGCCTCAGTTACCCACACCTCCTTCCCACTCCTCCCACCTCTGCTCAGCCTGGGCGGTGCCCACAGAAATGCTTCCCTCCCCCGCATCTGCTCTGTCATGACAGGCAGTGTGAGCTCACTAGCCCATTGTTTGGTTAGTGTGTCTGTCCTCTCCACTAGACTGTTAGCTTCAAGAAGTCAGTCTGGGGCTGACTCTGCCGAGTAGCAGTACCTTGCCTGGGGCCAGTATCAGCTTTCACGGGTAACATACTCAGAACTAACGCAGCAGGTTCCTTCTGAACATAACCTGACATGCTTTGGGTGGCCATGTCAGATTCAGAATTGTGAATCTCAACCAGAATGTAAAGTGCATAGGCGCTTTGAGTTTTTAAGTGATGTGGTCTGCCAAGAGGATATAAGGCCCTGACAGGTGTTGGGCCACCTGCTTGGTCTGTTACAATTTCAGGGGGATGCTGACAGCATCTTCACCTTGACCTTGGGTGCTCCCCTGGACAAGCTCATCTACCCATCACCCTTCTGCTGTATGGGCTGGTATCTTGTCACCCCCCACGGTTACTCCTCTTTGCTACATGTCTTCCCTCTTCCTCAAATCCTCCTCCATGATCCTGCTCCTTGGACTTCTATCTTTCAGAACTGTCCTGACAGCTTAGGCTTTAGAGGACACGCCAAGCTTCTCATTTTCACTCCACACACCAGGTTCCAGGCTGCACATACCACCACTGTAGTTTACTGTGCACTTTCTGTTGATGGTAAAAATGTGAAGCTTGCCATGGATATGCCACTCCGAGCATACATAAAAGGGCATCCTAGGCAACTCTCACTACATAGCCAAGTAAATAAGCATTGTGTCCACAACCCAGATGCCCAAGCTTCTGGGCCATCCAGTGTTTCCTAGCAAGGCTTCTTCCCCCTGCTCTTCACATCTTTCAGTTCACTGCCTTTGGTCCGGTTGGAAGCAGCATGGAGACAATGCTTCCTTCTGCCACTCCTCAGCACGTCCTCCTGGCATGGCAAATGTGTATGAGACTGGGTGAATGAGACAGTGTCAGTGAACACCTCCCCGACTTGTGTCTGCTCAAGTTGCCCATGTTCTCGGCTGCCTGCTCACAGCCACATATCCTTGTGGCACCTCTGTGTTCTGTGCACTGAGGACCCAGTGGTGAGAGTTGCCACGTTTCTGGCAGCTGCGGGATGAGGTGGTTAAAATTTTGTAAAACTCTGATTTCGAAACTTCACCATCCAAGAGAGATTTATACGTCATCAGCACTTCAGTCTTTACTGACTATGGTCACTTCTACTAACCACACAACCTGTTTTTCAGCCTCTAAGTATCACCACTGTGGCTTGGAGCAAAAGTTTTGTAGATGGTAAATATGAAGCCTGCTACTTTCTAGTACAGGACATCCAGGTCTCTTACTCCAGAAACAAATGGGCACTGTAGTCACACTGCAGCTAATATTTTAATAACTTTCCCAGCGTAGTATGTTGTTTTTTAAAATTTAATTTGCAGTACTGTTGGGAACAGCATTTTTAGTGAATTTTATCCTGTAAATGTCCCTGCCTATCTGCCCCTGCACATCACTGACTATCATGGCTTTTTTCTCTGCTGTGGAAAAAGCCTACAGTGGCCATTGGGGAGGCAGCTAAGAGGCCAGAGTTTCCAGGTATTTCTTAGCGAGTAATCTTAATAAGGAGTACAATTGACTTAAATAGTCTCAGTGGTGGATCTAACAAAACCACGGCTGTGAACCCCCAGTCAACCCCAGGTATCTGCATCTGGATCATAGGAGGTCAGAACTGAGCTAAAGCCAGTGGTCAGCTCTCTGTGTCAGCTCCTGGGCTCAGGAGGCTAGCCCAACCTCCGTGGACCAACTCCCCTTGCTCTGCTCACCTGCCCTGCTCTCCTCCCACAGGTTGTCTTTGTAGCCATTCTTCTTCACAGTCACCTGGAATGCCGAGAGCCGCTGCTCATCCCCATCCTGTCTCTGTACATGGGTGCGCTTGTGCGCTGTACCACACTGTGCCTGGGCTACTACAGGAACATCCACGACATCATCCCGGACAGGAGCGGCCCAGAGCTGGGGGTGTGTGCATGGTTTGACTGTTCAAAATACTAACACATACTGGTTTTACAAAGTAACAGGATGCCCTGTTTTCATTCTGGTATGCATCAAGGGTTGGTCATACTCAATCTCCCATTTTACTGTCTCTCTGCCCCCCTACCCTCTCTGCTTAACCCACAGGGTTGTCTTTACCTGTTCAGCCATGGGCTGACCAAGACCCAGAGAATATAAAATGAGAACTCAGTGTAATGAGCCTAAAGATCAAGTGCTAGGGGCTTTCTGAGGGGATGGCAGTCAGGAGCATCATGAACTCTACAGATGGGAATGATCTTAGAAGTGACTATCCAGCCTCGCCAAAGGAGGAGACAGTGTGTCATGTCAGGTCAATGGTGACACAGCATTTGTACCTGCTTGTACTCTCTATGGTAACCTCTTTTGTAGTCCAGAAAGCATGAGATTCATGGGACCTTTGTGCTCATGTTTTATAATTTTTAATATCATAGCATGGCCCAGACTCTGTTTATATACTCTCTGTACTGGTAGTTCCAGTTTCTTAATTGGGCACGTCCTAGGGACCACGAAGAACTTTAGGTACCATAGTGTGATGGGAAACCTTACAATATGGCCTTTACTTTCAAACAGATTTATAACTCAATAGGCAGGTAAGACCAACAAAGAAGCAACTATTAGGGAAAAACAAACAAACAAACAAACAAACAAACCTAGATGAGTCCAAAACAGTGTCGATACTCCATGGAACCCAAAGGCCTCCAATTTTGGTCCTGATGTCTAAAAAGCCTCCTTGGAGAAGTTTCAGTTTGTCCTGGGCCTTAAAAGCCAATTAAGAATCAAGTTAAAAAAGAGGGAACAAGTCAGGAGCCTGACACAGAGGACCTCTGAAAGGCTCTGCCCTGCAGACTATCAATGCAGATGCTCAGACTTATGGGCAACCTTTGGGCAGAGTGCAGGGAATCTTAGGAAAGAAGTGGGAAACAGTAAGATCTGGAGAGGACAGGAACTCCACAAGGAAAGCAACAGAACCAAAAAATCTGAGCACAGGGGTCTTTTCTGAGACTGATACTCCAACCAAGGACTATGCATGGAGATAACCTAAGACCCCTACACAGATGTAGCCCATGGCAGTTCAGTATCCAAGTGGGTTCCATTGTAATAGGAACAGGGACTGTCTCTGACATGAACTGATTGGCCTGCTCTTTAATTACTTCCCCCTGAAGGGGGAAGCAGCATTACCAGGCCACAGAAGAAGACAATGCAGCCACTCCTGATGAGACCTAATTGACTAGGATCAGAAGGAAGGAAAAGAAGTCCTCCCCTATCAGTGGATTTGGGGAGGGGCATGCATGCAGAGGGTAGAGGAAGGGAGGGATTGGGACAGGAGGAAGGAGGGAACCACAGGGGGGATACAAAGTGAATAAAGTGTAATTAATAAAAAATTAAAAAAATATTTAAAAATACAATCACTGAACTTTAAACATGAAAAAAAAAAGAATCAAGTTAAGAGTAAAACACCCAATGTTCCACACGAGGCCAAACATTCTCATCACAAGTCATGGAGAGTATTGGGCTTGTGTGTGTACTTACGTCTACCCACGTGCATTAGACGCCATTTCTCTCCATCCAGCTATAAGGCAGAGGAAGGATTATGTCTAACCCTGACCACACTCCACCCCAAGTCCCCAGCTTAACCATGCAATGCTTTGATTGTGTCACAAATAATAATTGTGTTAACCGTGTGCCTCATCCTCAGTCAAGCTACCATTGAAATCCTACCTACTTACTTCCACCACTTGACCAGTCACAATTATCTTGATGGGATGAGACCAATGTCTCTCTCTCACTCCCCCTCCCTCCCCCTCCCTCCCTTCCTTTCTCCCTCCCTCTTTATGTTCAGCCTCTAACAAAGGGAAAGAAATCAAAATGCCTGAGACGGTCCTTTGATGTAACTCTTAACCTCTTAAAAAACAAAACCAAAATTTCACAACAGAAGCCACACTTGAAAGATAACACACATCTTGGCTGCAGATGTCTTCAGGCATGCCTTGTCCTTTGCTTTTGCTTCGCTTACTGTTCCACACAGTGTGTGGTTCCTGTGAAGGCTCTGGAGGTGGGAGTCTCTGTGGCTGAGCTAAATAGTTCTGCGTTAATTGGACACATTTGTATATATTGCCTGATTTCAAAGCAGATTATAATAGGTTTTTATTTCTCAGAGTTACCTCCTACAGACATGGCTTCAAGCCAACCACTGTGATGACATAAACAGAGACTCATTTCAAACCTGCTTCTCAGGTCCTGGAACTGGACTCCACCTTGTATGGAGGCTGGTTCCACACATGGAAAACACTGGTCGGGATCCATCGAGCTCTACTCAGTGTCTGCTTTGATTTCACAGTAGCTTGCCAGCTGTCTGAATTAATTTCTAATAGGACTGTACACTTAATTTTAATTCAACTTGGCATGTCTTCAGAGGCTTTTCTGTATGTTATTGTTAGGCATAATGAAGTTGCTATTGATTGGTATAAGAAGGACAAGCTCTGATTTTAGGCTGTTTTCTGTTCTACTTCTGTAACTTAATGAGCTTTGACCTTTGTCTCTCAAAACAGGGTGATGCAACCATAAGAAAGATGCTGAGCTTCTGGTGGCCTCTGGCTCTGATTCTGGCCACACAACGAATCAGTCGGCCCATTGTCAACCTCTTTGTGTCCCGGGACCTTGGTGGCAGCTCTGCTGCTACAGAGGTAGGACACTTTGTGGGCACACATGGGGGGATAAAAATGATACAAATTTATTTCTAGTTTGCTTCAGGAGCTCAAGCACTTCTAAGGTACTAGGTCATATGACACAGTGTCAATTGAAGCCATAAGGGGGTGACTTTTGAAGTTTACATCTCTGTGACTATGGAAGAAGATACCTACTTCATCCTTCTCACTTAGTGCATGAGGAACTGAAGCATAGGAGAACAGACAGGGACAGAACCTGCTAGAAGCTGGGATAGTGAGAACATTCCAGCTTGCTGGCCTCCTTCTCATGGCCCTTCCATTTCTCCACAGTGTCAGGATGCAGCCTCTTCATTGTTGCAAAGGATGGTGGGAAATGCCTGTAGGAACTCTAGCACGTCTGTTGTGACCCAGCCTAGCCTCACCTGCTCTGCCCCTGTGTTACACACATGCCATACCACCTATGGACTCGTTGACAGTCAGCCCTCCTCCAGAGGAGGGTCTCCTGCGTGCACTCACTCAAAGCTCCAGAAATGGATCTAGAAACTGGCTGCCATTGCACAGAAACAGTTGACTCATCCTTCTTTCAATCAGGGGATGATGAGGCAGAATGACTTCATTTGTTTCTTCCTCCATTGCCTTCTGGAGAATTAATTCTCTTGCTGGCACCTCTGATTCTTTAGAAAGGCTGGTGGCTTCTCATTAGGGCCTCCTGTTTACACCTGGCCTTGACTGCACTGTCAGCAGCTCTCCAGCCCAGAGTATCCTGCCAGTTTCCATGTCCTGGGTAGCGCTCCTGTTGGCCAGGAGAATATGCCTATAAATCAAAGTCAGAATAATTTCTCTGGCGCCCGTTTGTTCCTGGATTTTGGTATCTGAGTCACAGATGCATCTTTGGTGGCTGCTATAGTACAGGAGTTTTTCCCGTCACATACTGACTTTCCAAGTAAAATGTATGGAACTACCATCACTTATGTGCTATGATTCCATCTTCCCATAAATTAACCAAAAGAGGACAGATTTTGTATTAGGCATTTCCAAATGGCCAGCTATGGCATAGAAGCTCAACATTGTGTGTGATTATGCTCAGGCACTCATTTGCGTTTTAGTCATTTCCCATCATCCCTGTATGTTTAATATTTTACCAGTGACATTTCTGTGAAGAAACTGAGATGGGGGTCCAACAGGGGAAGGTTCCCATCTCACTCACCCCAGAGTGTAAGGGAGGTTTAGATCTAGGCCTGCCTAGCATGATGTTCTTTTTATGTTATGCCATGCCACACCACACAAGTTTCCTCACATAGCTGCTGACTATATCATGTCCCTGTGTTCTGGGCACAGTTGCTCTGTCCATTAAATCAAAAGAAGCCTGACTTCCTCTTTTACCAGTGAGTTAAAAAACCAGCTGCCAGAGTGCAGCCATAGATGCCAAATTTTCATTTTCCTCCTTTTCATTCATGCAAGAAAAGAAAACCCTTTTCATGGAAACCCATCAGTAGGCTTTCCTGTGTGAATGTTTATTGATTTCACTGAACTAAAGTTTTGAGTTGGACCACTAGGACCAAGCAGCCTGAAATGTGTTGAGTTGAAAAGATAGTAGCACAAAGTCGCTGACAAACAAGTCCGTCGTGCTAAAGATCAGCGTGGAGGTGGAGAAGCAGAGCCAGCCTAAGTCTCTTCTCCTAATATAGTTTTGGGACCCACACTGAGCTGGAGGAGATAGTACAATGTGGACTAGAGTCAAGATCACCAGCATCTACCCATAACTCCAGAGCACGGGAGGCAGAGATGCAGGAGCCTCTGAACAAGATGACTGGCTAGATGAGCCAAATATAGGCTCTAGTGCGAGGCCCTCCCTCAACACATGAGGTGAAGAACAATTGAGAAAGATACCCAGGGTCAACCTGGCCTATACACATGTGCAACACAAGTACTCACACATATGTGAGTACTTGTATGCATACTACACACATGTGCAAAGCACCATGTAAGATTGTGATTGACTTGGGAGCTTGGTTAGGCCCAGTGGGAAGAACCAAGATTCTGGGGTCTGAGGAAGGGGGATTGAAGTCTTGGCTTTTTAAGCAGGGGATCTGGCCTGTTTCCTTTTTAGGTTTATATGAAACACACCTCTTCTGGGTTTCAGACCATCTTGTGGCCAGTGAATACAGGGACAGATGTGCCACTCGCCTTGTCGCCTAGCCTGGCAGATCCTGGAGGACTTCCTGCGGATGCCCACACTAACACTGTCCACTCTTCCCTTGCAGGCAGTAGCAATTCTGACAGCTACATACCCCGTGGGTCACATGCCATATGGCTGGTTGACAGAAATCCGTGCTGTCTACCCTGCTTTTGACAAGGTGAGACCTCTGTGGCACAGTGTCAGAAACACACTTCATAACATTGCCACTTGATGGACAGGGGTCTCCAAGGAAAAACGCTGGACATTTTCCTCTGAGAATAACAGAGGAGAGTGGGGCTTAACTTGCTGCAGATTCTGGACTGTTTCTTTCCAAATTGGTATTCCCGGGGTCACATTATCCCTCTTGAGTGAGTATTTTCAAGGAGGAAAGTAAACACCCCCGTAAAGTTCATTGGGCTTTGTTCCTGTGGCTTACTATTATTCAGTCATAACTTGTGGATCCTGTACTAGATGTCCAAGTTGTGGACACATGAGGCAGGGGTTTGGGCTCATGGGCATATGACTGTCTTGCTATGGCAGGGAGATATACATAGACAGTGTCTGTGTAGCAAGACTTGCTTCCTGTTTGTCTGGATTTTTTTTTTCCTTAAGGTGTATTTATTTATGTCCATGTATGTGGTGTATGAGTTTCTGTGCACCAGAGGCATGCAGGTGCCCACAGAGGCCAGAGGACATCTGGAGCTGGAGTTACAGGTGGTTGTGGGGGTGCCCGTGGGGGTGCTTGGAGCTCCCTCACCAGCTCCATACCTCCACCCTCAATTCAGCTGAAAATCTTAGTGGCCAGCACTTCTGCCCTCCTGCTACTGTTGGCCCCACCAAGGGAGGCATCTAACCCTTCTGACCTCCGCTTTGGCTTGGTGGGAACTGTCCTGCTTGTCAGTTAGTAAAGGTCTACTTAATCACACACTCAAAAAGGTCTCCTTCTCAAAGGACAGACTTGTAGAATGTAGCTTGCAAGAGACTCCTTCCATCCCCCATTACACCCTAAGCCCAGGGTATTTCCCAAGTCTAGACAAAGGCCACCATAAGTCCACCCCCGACACATACACACACACACACACACACACACACACACACACACACACACACACACACACAGGTTCTGTTCTCACCTCCCATGACAGTGTTCTTCCATACTGACCAGCCTCCTGCTGGCCTTCCATTTCCCTTCCCCTTCCTTTTTTGGGCACACACGCTCTTCGAAAAGTCAGACTCACCTCTCAGCTGCAGGGGTCCCTCCGGGAATCATAGCATGAGATGGGCTAGTGACCTTACGCAGGACTGCGCTGATGTGGCCCTCCCTTAGTTGCCTATTGGTTCCCACCCTGCACCAGTCACCAACATTTGATGCAGCACCAGCATGAAGAGCCTCTCCTAGGTCGTATTTTTGGTTGATTCCTACAGATCTCTGAGACTGTGCAATGTCTAAGTCGTTTTAAGAGAGGGACCTTCTGTTTGGTGAATTAATGCCATCTGTAGATAGAATCACTGCCTTCATTTCATGGAACACTGTGTGTAATAAGTCCTAGAAAACCAAGGCAGATGTCAGTCTTTGCTGAATTTCTGTTCTCCCTCTGGTAAGTAAGATTATATAACACAACTTACAGCCGAGAGAGGAGGCACTGCAATGTGTGAATTGTTGGCTGGGATGGCCCCTTGTGAAGTTTGGCTACCTTATAATAATAATAAACTAAACAATACCACCCTCTATGTCTTCAGCAGGAGGACCCAAGAAAAACATTGTTTTACTCTTAATCACAGAGGTTACAAGCTATGAATTTTTTTTCTTTAATGAGCCTACCTCTGGCCAGAAACTGGAGTTACTTGGGATCCTTTTAAAGCCTCACCATTGTTTGCACACATTCCAGCGAGCAGTCCCAAGCCATGTTTGGCTTGGGAATGCTATCTGCCCATCAATGTCTTAGACCCCTCAGTGTGGGCTTCCAATGTTCCTTGCTTTGACTATTGAAGTCTTTGACCTGTCTGTAGGTTCCAGAAAAAGAGACCTAAAATCTTTCACATACTGTGGAGTGATTCGACTAAATATAAACCATGTGTGCAAATTCTCTATTTTTTTAGTTGTTGTGTATCAAAGAGTTCATTAGACAAGTAAAATGAAAGTGCTTGTCTAAAGCTGGTGTGCCAGTTCATTTCAACTGCTTCTGCAGAGATGTGTGTATGCTTTCTTACAAATAATGATGTCCTATAGGAGTGCTCACAGCGGCCATCAGCGTCGGCCGGGACTGTTTGAGTGAGGCTGTCTGGTTTTTATAGTGTCGATCCCCACCTTCACCCTCCATCAAGCCAATGGGGAGCCAGGTCTCACGAATGGCTTTTGTTCCTCGGCTCTGGAGCTGAATTGATCTATAATGAAGCTGGGTTCTTCTCTGATTTGGAGTGAGGCCAGACGCTCCAAGGAGTATGCCCGGCAGTGAGCTGGGACCGCCTCAGCAGGCCTGCTCACTCAGTGTACTTTTTAGTGTCCCATGAGCACATACGTGAAGCACCTTGCAGGATTGGCTTACAGTTCAGTGTGGCAGATGCTCCTTGATATCTTGTTCTACTTAAGTGCTTCTGGGCCAGAGAGTGGGCAAGACCTGCAGTAGCTGATTGCAGAATACATAGGGGTCAAGCCTGTGAGGATACCCCGTCTATCCACACAGCTCCAGCATCATCGGGAAGGAGGCCAGGAAACTGTCTATAAGCCAGAGGTTAGACAGGCTTTCACAAGCAGATGGGCTAGGGAGGGGATGGGCCTTTCGAAGAGGGGTACTTTGAAAACCAGAAAATCCAGAAGGGGAGGAGAGACAAATGCATGGATGTGGGGGAGAGTGGGAGTCCCGTTTGGGATGCAGGTGGAAGTGATGGTGGGAAGGTGTGTCTGGGGCACAAAGCAGCCATTAAGTGCTCAGGGGAAGTTTTATTCCTTTGGTAGGGAGGAGAGGTCAGTGATCCATGGCATTTAAGGAGACACCAACCCTGGTGGCCAGGCACAGGGTCTGCTGAAGCCAAAAGGGGACACATGAGTCAGGAAACAGGCTTCAGAGCCAAGGCCCTTCAGGGTGAGGTGGCAGCCTGGTGCCAAGGGCAGAGAATTGAAAGAGCCCAGAGTTCCCTCTGGTTAATGTCTCTGGGCAGGAACCTGACAGCTGTTTCAGAGACCCACTGTGACAGCCATCTTCCAAGCTGTCACTTGAAATCGGTACTTAAGGCATGTCAAATAAAACAAGGTGCTCTTTGTGATCTGGGGGCTCAGCCAAGGGTGACCTAGCCTTGTCATCACTGCCGTTCTCTTTTCCCAGAATAACCCCAGCAATAAACTGGCGAACACAAGCAACGCCGTCACTTCGGCCCACATCAAAAAGTTCACCTTTGTCTGCATGGCACTGTCATTGACGGTAAGGGGAGAGCGGGGACCACGGCAGAGTGTACAGCCCCTCTCTTTCTCAGCATGAGTGGGTATGCCCCCAAAGAGGGAACTCGCCATTGTAAAGGAAAGAGTCCTGTATTCCATAATGTGATGCCTCACTGTCTTAATTAAGGACTGTTGTTCAAGACCATTGATTCTAGGAATGAAAGTATTTACAGTTCTCAGGCCCACAGACATGATCAAGAAAGACAGCGTTATTCTGAATAACACTCTTTCGTTTGTCTGTGTGTGTGGGAGAGAGAGAATACCCCCTTCCTGGACCCCTTTCTGTTTTATTTACTGAGTCAGGGTCTCTTGTTTAACCCTGTCTTGATGATTCTGAGAGTGGCTAAGCAGCTTGCCCTGAGGGATCCTCTGTATCCATCTCCCTCCTGCTGGGGCTACAGACCGGCTGTCATACCCACCCTACTTCGGTTACAGGCATCACATGTTTCTAGGACATGAACCTAGCATACGCCAGGTGAATTCTCTGTCTTGGAGCTATACCGCCAGTCCAGAACCCTTCCCTTGCTATATAATTTCTGATTCATCTTTTAAACTTCAAGTCAGCTTTGCAAACACCGCTGCTCTTTCCTAAATTTAACTAGTATATTTTCTCTAGTAGAAATAATGGGAGCTCCTCCTGAGTCCCCAAAAGTCTGTGTAAATACAAAAGACACAGCTGTGAATAAGGATGGAAAACACTGAACTTTTTGGATCTGGGTACATCCTTTTTTTTTTTTTTTTTTTAGCATGGTCTCACTGTTTACGGCAGAGTGCCCTGGAACTCACTGTGTAGACCAGGCTGGCCTAGAATTTACAGAGATTTATCTGCCTCTGCATCCCAGGAGTTTGAGTGTACATTCTTTTTTTTTTTTTGTCTGTTTGTTTTGCTTTGGTTTGTTTTTTTTTTTTTTTTTTTTTTTTTTTAAGACAGGGTTTCTCCATGTAGCCCTGGCTGTCTTGGAACTTGGTTTGTAGACACAAGGCTGGCCTCAAACCTAGAGATCTGCTTGCCTCTGCCTCCCAAGGGCTGGGATAAAAGGTGTGTTCCACCACCACCTGATCTGGGTATACATTCTTAAGTAAACAACAACATCCCGGCTTTACCAAACCCCCATATGGAAAGATAATATTCAGAAAACATGGGGGACAGTGAACATGCTGTAAAAGCCAAAGGACATACTATACAATTTAAGATTGCTAGTTTAAACGTTTACTAAAGGCAGGGAAAAACAAACCAACATAAATGGCAGCAGTGCCGTGAGGTTCTTAAGGCATTAAAGAACATGGCTTTTTAAATTCAGCTAAGCTTTCCTTTGTTGCTATGGCTATGCTGCTCCTAAAAATCCTGTAGAACTTATTTTCCTTTTATACATACTATGCACTGATCACCTGAATGTGTTCTGCAGTCATCATTAACAACCAATAGAGAGAGCCAAGGCTGAAGTATCTTCCTGAGACCAGGAAGACAGCAACTGCCCCCTTCATCATAGTCCTCAGAGCCATTGGGCCTGATGAACAGCACTGATTATCCTTGAGAAGTAGATCTCCAGCAGTCACTCAGAATGTACAGCTTAATATCTGGTCCAGTGCCTGGATCATGGTGACAGGAACAACACAAGATATACGATCACAGGAAGCCTTTGGAACCACTGAGTCACAACATCATACCCTCAGCACCCATCACCACCAACAGTACCCGTCCAGCGACCTGTCCCTGTGGGATGGGTGACACACCAAACTCAAGGCTCCTAGCTAGGAAGGAACTTCTGATCACATCTGTGGTTGGAGTTTACCAGTGACCCTGGGCGACCTGTTTCCCTGTTGGCATTTTTTTTTCTTTCTTCCTATGGTGCGCCAGTTTTTCCATAGTTCCCTAAAATGTTAGCAAAACACTGAACAACTTTGAAACTGCTCAAAAGAGTATTTTAGGAAAAAACCAGAGAAGTTTCTGTTCCAGGAACAGACCTCAGCTTTTGGAGGAGTCTGTTAAATGACTTGGAGTCAAAAGTGGACTTGAAGCCAAATTCTGGGACTGAGCCTCATCTGCTCAGAGCTGACAGCTTGGGGCTATCTTTGGCTCAGCTGCCAGGGCTTCCCAGCCTGTCTTCTCTCATGTGGACATACCTCCTCACAGCTGGAGGTAAGCGAAGGAGAATATGGCCACACCGCGTGAAGACGGCCAATAGTTTGAACCTCTGCAAGTCTGACCATGAGCAAGTTTAAAATAATAACAGGATCTGGGAGACTACTTAGAGCTCTTTTCCAGGCACATGCTGATTTCTTGTTGTTTTCCCAGATCAAGAAAAAATACTAAGTCAGACTGCTTCGCTGCAAGTCTACCTTAGAAATAAGGACTCAGAAGCCCTTATTGGAAGGGGACTTGGAGATGAACAATTAAAAAAAAAAACCTTTAATATTCAGAAAAAGAACCAGCTTAGGATATATGATACACCCCAGCAATAGAACCTGCTGGAGCTCAGTTGCCGGGAATCTGTCCCCGTTAACTCCCCCAAGTCTCCAGACAGGAGCCGGTGACTCTGTGCTTGAAGAAACTGTTTCTTCAACATTGAAAGCTACAGTATTTGGCTTGTAGCTTGCTTGAACTCATAACAGTTCAGTCTATAGAGTCATCACATCATGGCTGGAGGAGCTGTTGCTAAAAGACGCATAGAAAATGTAAAATTCCCACATTGAACCTTTAACTGTCAGTGTGTGTGTGTGTGTGTGTGTGTGTGTGTGTGTGTGTGTGTGTATCTTTTAATATCCCACGACACACTAATTCTTGCACATCTACTGGTGCCCTTAGTCTCTGTCAGTCACAAAGCAGGTCAACATAACCTAGGGCTACGGGACCCATCCATGGTAACCCGTGACTCCACCAATCAGCTGTGCTTCTCACCTGTGGCACCTTCTCTCTGTGAGGAAGTATATGCGGGAGGAGGGCAGAGCAGAAAAGCAGTATTGCTGTTGCAATGCATTAGCATCTTGCTGTTCACCCTTCAGATCATGCTTCATAGGAGAACCGTCCAGTCTAAACCACCTGATCCAGTGAGATAAAAGAAAGGTTCTGAGTCTTTAGTGAGTCTAAAAGATCCAGTTCTGAAGGGTAGATTGCCAGATAACTAACTCCCTAAGAGCAAGGAGGGAGTAGACTGGGTGAGCTAGTTGACTGCATAGCACAAGCTGCTCTTTAAAGAAAAGAGGACAAAAATACACACGAGCGCTATCAAAGAATGGCTTCCTTGTGGCAATGCTGTACTGCAGCCATACAAGGGAGACTGCAAACCAGTGGTCCAGAGAAGCCAAACTCAAAGACTGTGGTCATCTGTGCAGTGAGCACTCTTCGAGAACCTTCCTGTAGAACAACAGTAGTGTTGACTTTTCTGTGTTAAGTCCCGTGACAACTAGTGTGTTGTAGAAGGCTGCTTGTCTTGATGGGTTATGTTGTGAGCATGAGGAGAGCACGGTCTGGAGTAGGCAATGAGGAAGATGTCCCTTGCTGAAGAAAGAACTGGCTGCCTGGGCTGAAAATCCCTACCACATGTATGGTCTATGAAGCTCTTCATAGTTCCTGCTGGCCTCTAGATTTAGGGCTGAAGTAAAAACTGCTAACCAGAGTGACACATGTCTTCCCAATAGCACTGTTGGTGGCAGATAAGTGTCCCAAAGAGGTGATAACCACCTGTTTCTAGAACCCAGGCCAGCGCAATAAAAGCCAGTAAATCGGGGTGCTAAATTTACAGAATTTGCTCATTAACCCAAAACTTGTTTGGGATTCCCTTTTCCTTTGAACTCTTTCTGACACTCAACAGATCATGGTAAGCAGGAGAGCCCTAACAGTTTCAGCTGCTAACAGTTGCCTGGCTTCCATCTGACTTCACAACAGCCTTTTAAGAGCATTGGGTATTTCTCCTCTCAGATTGCCCACTGCTGCAGTAGTTTTGGGGAGCTGGTGCCAAGAATGGGGCCCCTCAGCTCCAGGAGAAGTAGAAAAGAATCTATGCAAAACCCAGGCTTGGCTGCCTTGGAAGCCTTCTCTAGCCCCTTTGTATACAGTAGAAACAGGCCCTGATCCAGATGGATCTTGGCAAGTATAGCCAGTGGGGCACGTCTAGGTATAGACAGCCTACCCAGCCTTTCCAACATCCCCTGAATGCCAGATCCCAGGAAAGTCAGACTTAGAAAGCAAGGATCATGGAGAGGAGACAGACTGTCAGACAGCTGGAGAGGGTATGAAAGTGAGAAAGAGGAAGGGTCGGCTGGCCTGAAAAAGAGACAGGACGTTGGCACAGAAAGATGGGCAAAATGACAGAGGTAGTGGTACACACAAAACAGGAGAATGGAGGGCCCCAAACCCTCAACCTCCCCCTGCCCCAGTCCTTGGGGCTCTGTGAGTCTTCCCAGTGCAATAGAATCTCAGAAGAATTTATAAAGATGTGTAATTCAGAAACCAGTAATTAGGCATAATGTAATGTTTTTGGCTAAGGTTTGTTTTTTGGCGAACTGACCCATGTTAAGAATGCAAGTGTGGAATGCAACTCTCACTAGGGTTTGAACAGGGCACTTGGGCCATGCCAAGGTTGGAGGACTGCCAGGCCTCCACACTGCATCCCATTGTCCACATAAGAACCAAGCCCTCAGCTTGACCAGTCAGAGCTTGCTCAGGGGAGAGGCCAGGAGTGTGGGGAGTATGTCAGTGCCACCTAAAGGGGAGAGAACAAAGCCTGCTGGGATGCCGTCAGATGGCAAAGGCTCCAGTAGTGGAGTACAGAGGTAGCCAAGCCTAGGACCTGTTGGTAATTTAGGTCTCGTTCTTCAAAGAGAAGTTGAAATAGGGGACTAGGAAGATGGCTCAGTGGGTAAAGGACTTGCCACATAGCCATGAAGAGCTTGATCTCACCCACATGAAAGCCATGCACAGCCGCTCACGTGGAGGGAGGTGAGGAAGGGGAGACACGGGAGCCTCTCTGGGGCTCACCGGCT